AGCTTACAGTGAAAAAGAATATATATGTATATATGTATATTCATGTATGACTGTGCTGTACACCAGATATTGACACAAATTGTAAACTGACTATACTTCAATTAAAAAAAAGTAAAAAAAAACCCCCAAAACTAAACCAAAATGGAACTTTTAATACTAAAGTCTTACAAGAAGACTCAACTTTATTATTTCTCAAGGCAATTTGTACAATAATACTCATAATGCCAAAAGGTAAAAAGTACACACATTGAAGAAAAAGCTTTCTTCTCAGCCAGATGCTTCGCTAATGACAAAAAGCAATGTATCTTCAAGATGGCAATGGAAAAGTAGATTGAAGAGAAGGGACACAGGATTTGGGAGAAAACAAAATTGAAATTTCTTCTTTTAAAGCAAATTGGAAGGAACAAAAAGATACAAAGAGAAAACCACAGATGTCTAAATAAAAACTGTAATGAAAAATAATTTAATAATGTAACACCAATGCAGCGCTAAGAAGAAAAATTATTAGTTTTTGGTAGAGAAATTGCTTGAAATAATAATAGCTAACACTTACTGAGTGATTTCCACGTGACAGGCACTGTTCTAAGATTTTATATAAATTTGCTCATTTAATCCTTCTAATAGCTATAGCAGTAGATTTTAATTAATTCCTACTTTACGTTATGAGGAGAGTGAGCCACAGAAGTTTAAGTAACTTGGCCACTCTGGAGAGCTGGGATTTGACTAGAAGTTTTGTGGTTCTAGAGTTCACTCTTAATCATATTGGCCTTGCTTAGGTAAATGAGAGATGTGGACAGGTGCCCAAGTTTCTGGCAGAGGACATAAACTACGCTGCATAGGGAGAGGCAGAGTCAGAGGGTCTGAGGCCGCACAGCATAAGGCAGGCATGGGGACCCTTGATTGTGGCAAAGCCTAGAGACATTGAAGAATCCCTCCAAGAAAGGGGATTGATGTATATTACTGCATGTTGGGGAGCATGCCATGTCAACCCGTCTCTACTGAATCTTCAGTAACATCTACAGTGCCCACTAATGCCTTTGACTCCAGCGGATATATTCTTTGGTGAAAATGAAGATGTACTAAGTCTGACTTTGAGGTTAGAGCAGGGCGACAACTGAAACTGAAGGTGGGTAGTTGGCAGATGGATTATACTAGGGTCACATAAAGAGATTCTCATTTTATTTGCTTCTCTCTCTAGTCTTTTCAGAGGATCACTTTTATTATTAAGATGTAAATAAACAGAAATACTTTGAGTGAAAGCTTTAATATGTCTGTAAAAAAAAGTACTGACTGATAGACAAGTATACACCTCAATATTAAAAATATGTAAAAATAAGTTATAGAGTTTTATAAATACGAGAAAATGAAGCAGTATAGTATTTCTTGCGTTGTTATTTTGGACAAAGGTACAGAAAAAGTAGTTGCATGTGATGTAAAATTTAAACTGAGCAGCTTAAAATATTTTGGCAATTAAACTCAGTTTTGATTATAGTTACTAATCAAACTTGCTATTATTAAAACCTGGAGGTGTCCATAGTGATAGGAAGATGGTTAGGGTATATTCATGCTTGATAATTTGGGAAATGTGTATTGAAAGTCATACATTTTTGTATGTATTTGGACCCATAAATTCTATTCCTAAGAATTGGTCTTAAGGAAGTAATCACCAATATGGTCAAAGACTTAGTCAAAGGATGTTCACTGTAGTATTGTTTATAGAAACAAAAATTTTGAAAAAAAAACCCTATTTTTTACATTATGATAGAATATAAGCAATCATTAAAAACAATGTTGTAAGTATTCTCAATATTATAAGTGAATATTCAAAATATAGGAAAGGATATTCAAAATGTGTTATGTGAAAAATGAGATTATAGAACATTAGATATAGTAAAAACATATTTTCTTTAACAAACTGTACTCACATTCATAGAACAAAGACTGGAAGGACATGCCCTAGAATGCTGACTGTGTTTTATTCTGGCTGATAGGTTTATGGGTGAATTGTCTTTTTTCTTTTTTCTTATCTGTATTTTCTCTCTAATTAACATATACTATGTATGTAATAATCAAGAAAGCCTCTACAAAAAATTAGACCATTATGTGGGAATGATAAGGGCTGAGGTAATGTGTTAGGAAGAACAAGTTAGCTATAACCCACTTAGCCATAAAGGGACCATTGTATTTTCGCTTGAAATACTTCTGAAAGCGGTGATGTGCTTAGCATGTCATTTATATCTGTGTGAGAGGGGTTTCAGGGTTTCTCCTGAAAGCAAATCGTGGTGGGAGGAGAGAAGGAACTAGAGAATTCTTGAGGACTTGAGAGGAGGCATGAAAAAAGGGACCCAAAAGAAGGAGATTAGATTTGCTGAAAACGAACTTTATCTGTCTCTTATTTTCCCTTTGAAATGATTTTGGTCCCTCAGAAAAGTCTTCAGAAGCAATCAGAGCAAGCCGGAGAAGAATCCTGATCCCTCTCAATCCCCCTGCAACCTTTACTTCTCAGTCTCCCCCAGCTCTGCACATTTCCTGTTACCTATTACAGATGTGTTCTAGAGGCGTCGTGGGGCAGCATGCTCAGCTTTCTGGGTGTGTTTTCATAAGGTTTCAGCAAGAACCACACTACCCCAAACTGCTGTGTGTTTAGTGGGGCTTCTCTCTGCAAATTACCTCGATAAAACTTTCAAGAACCTTGAAAAAATTCTTTTCTCCTCTTTTGGTTTCCGCCCGATTGAAAATGCTCCCCAGTGTTAAACTGAAGCCTCATCATTGAACTTACTTGTGGTTGTAGTTGCTGTTTCACGTTCAGTCCCCCCAGGGTCAGTGGGAGGGTCTGGGAACCAGGTGCCATCCCAGGATTTAGCTGTAGGGCAGTGAAGAAGATTTTCATTGTGTTGTTTCAGTTTGAAAATTCAGGAAACTAAGCTGTATTTAAATGTAAAATATATTTAAAGGGAGGATTTGCTATGCAAATCTATACTATTGTATTTGGAATTAGATTTAGAAATGAAATTCAAAGACTTGTTGAGTCTATTAGTACAATTACGAAGCCCAGGACTAAGTTTTCTCATATTAAGTTTTTTTTGGCATTTAACCCATTCTCCTATGTATTACTTAGGTGATTTTATCCTTGCTTTCTCCTTTTTGGCTATAACAGAAATGAAATTTCTGTTCCTGGAATTTTTCTGATAGCTTTCTTATGAAGAAATGAGTTCCTTCATAGGTATCTCTATGAAAATTGTGATGATCAGAGTAAGATATCTAGTCTGAATATCATCTAATACTGTATTTAAATCTGACCCCTGGAATAAAACCCACTTTAAGCAGAAAAGAAACTTACTAATTATTTTATCACCCAAACAGATTAAACTATAGGATATTCTATGAAAAGTATGTGCATATTTCTACCCTTTCTTGTTTGCTCCTGTCGCTGGGGTGATGATAGAGGTCATAGTCCTTGTGTGGGTGTGTGGATGTTGTAGGGGCAGAGAGGAAGATGTCATAGGAATGGGGAGGGGAGCTCGGAGAAGAGGTGAGAAGAAGTAAAGAAGTAAAGACCTGAGAATTAGATTAATTCCTTTAGAGCTTCTTGTGCTAAGAAAACTTTTTTATGATGTATCAAATAGCATCCAAGTCTCTTTTGACTTTTCTCTGTCATCTTTCAGCTTATCTGCAATGAATATGTGTATATGTGTACATCTTTGGATACACAGACACATACATTGAACATTGGGTATTATATTTATTTAACTATGGATATTAAAATGATGTAAAAGAGTACTTACCAGTTGCAGATCTGACCCCAGTGTGAGCATCTGTGTCAATGGTATTAGACTTAAAGAAGGGAAGACCTGCAGGGCATCGAAATTGATGTGTGAGACAGAAGGTTGATTTTACTGTGCTGTTAGTGGTGGAGATCCTCAAGTAACCTATACCCTTAATATGAGGGTAAGTGAAGATGAAGCTTCAATGACTCTCACTAGCATTGCTCCCTTCCATGGCCCTCGGAGAAAACCTCACAATGCCCTAGTTGAAGGTATTTATCAGCTTAAAAATGTGTAATTTACTCTTATTTTTTGCCTCGTTATAAATTATTCACTTTAGCAATAAATTTTACATATCTAATTTCGTATTCTTTTTCAGAAAAGGTCCCCAGATTGTATAAGCCTGAGTTTCTTAAGGAGGGGGGTCAGCTCCTGACTTGAGTGTTGCATAATGTCCAGAGACCAAAAAGAGAACTTTAGACTTTGGTGTTACTGCACTAGTTCACGAAGTCTAGTTGTAGGTAAGGAGGGGTCCTTTTGAGCAAAGGAAGGGTTGGGGTGGGAAGAAGAGGGGTAGCCAAGAGATAATGCACTTTTCAAAAGTATTTAGATATGCTTCAGAGACAGATTTTACAGTAACTCATAAGCTCATCAGCAACAGTGGAATTTAAGAAAACCATGAGGAAATCGGCAATCATTTTATAGACTGCCTCTTAATCCCTGCGAGTTCTGGCAAATACCATATATGATTATGTCACAAGGGAATAGATGAGCAAACTTTTTCAACAGGTGTAGCTATTGCTCTTCAGAGTTTACTAGATTTCATTGCTAAACAAAATTACTATTTATACAAGAGGAAAAAGAATGAGGATTGCTTTTCCTGCTCAAAGTTTTCGTAACAGCGTATTTCTTGTTTTTCCCCCCACAGGTAAAACTTTTCTTTCTGTTGCTCAGTCATGAGATTTTGGGTGAATCGTAATTTTAAATCCACTAGACTTAACGTCTGCAGATGTTCCCTACTGTAGAACTCTTACCGGATTTGGCTGCTGTTGGTTTAGTGGTGTTGCCTGATCTGGAACCAGCTTTGCTGGAGGAAGTCCCAGAGTAGGGTTGACCTGCATCTGTGATAACAGACATTTGAAGAGGCAGGAATGTGTTTGAGAGTTTATATCCATTTATTTCTGGGAGTTAACAAGTTGACCCAAATGCAGAAATGTCTGTCTTTAGCCTCTGTGTGTTTTGAGCAGTCTTGACTCCCTGAAACATTTTGGGCATGACAGGAGATGGAAATGCTTAGTGGAAAAGTACCAGAGCACGAGTGGGTGCTATGAGGAGGGACAGAGGGTGAGGTAGGGCACATGGATTTCTGGTGGTAGTTCCTAGGCTCCCACTTCTTTTCTGAAATTCCCTTCTTCCTTTTCCAGGACATGAAATACATAATTCACACCTTGGCTCTGTACACATTTGCTTTTTCCCAATGCTTGAAGATAAGCTGCCATGATTTCTACTGTATTTTCATTAAGCTTCCTGCATTTGCCTCACACCCGACAAGTTAGTTCCTGTAATGGAAATTCAGTCCTCTTCCTAGTCAGGGTAGATTCATAGTGTATTAAGAATAACTGAATTTTAGGGGTAAAAATCTCCTTGAATTCATATGCTCTAGTTGTATGGTTTTGTTTTATAAGTGAGGAACCTGAGACCCAGACAAGCAACGTGATCTGTCCAAGGTGGTATGTTGAGTGGCAGAGTTTGTACTAGGATCCCTACAAGTGCTCTTAGTCTTTGAAGAAATGAATTCTTCTATTTGCTTCTCTTAGCACTCCATCTGCATTCAGGTGGACGCTCCCTGGCCGGGTTGACCCAGTGGCCATTGCTTCCAGCTGTAGCCACAAGGGCAGTGTTGTGTGCACCCCCACTCCCCGCTCCCCCAGCGCTGCATCGATCCTTGGATCACTTGGATATATCTTGGAGCTGCCACTAACTCTTTGTTTCACTTTGGTCTTTTCCCTCAGTTGTAAGAGGTAGGATTGACTCTATCTGTCCTTAGCGGTCCCTTTAAGCTTTAAGGTTATGTAAATACAAATTCTGCAAATGTCTTTTCATCCCCTGCAATGCATTGTCAGCATGGCAGTCAGAAGGATCCTTTGAAAACAATAGTTTGGTCATTTCATTTCTCTACCCATTCCCTGCCTTGACTTCCATTTTCACTCAGAGTGAAAACCAGAGACCCCACGATGGCCTAAAAAGGCTCTCAGGTCCTGGGCCCCCAGAGCCTCTCTGACCTTCCATCCCACCTCATTTCCTCTCATTCACTCTACTACTGCCATTCAGGCAACTTGCAGTCTCTGGAACAGGTAAGGCCCACTCCTGCCTCAGATCCTCACCTCCACCTGTTACCTCTGTCTGGAATACATCTTGCCCTAGACTTTGGCTCAGTCCTTCCCCTGCTTCAAGTTGTTGGTTGAGTTCATCTTCTTTTTGAGGTCTATTCTGACTACCCCTCTGAATATGCAACCTGTACCATCTCCAATGTGCACCCTATTTCCAAACTTTTGATCTACTGAAAACAATCACTAGGCTGCTTTAAGTGTTCACATTTGCAAGTCAGTACATTTTTTAATGCCTTTGTGATAATTCAATACATTCATTTACAAATAATTAAAAAAACCCTTGTCCATGTGTCTTGAGTTTTCATTTGATGAATATTACTAGTATATCTAATAGACATTTAAAATTGCTTCTCACATTCCCGGTACCAGACTGCCTCTAGCTCTCTCACGTTCCTGGCTATTAGCAGTCTGCGTTAACCTGCACATTACTCCTCAGTCCACCTTGAATGATAGCTGTGCTCCTGGAAAGCTTCATTTTTCCTGAGTTTTTACAAATTGTATGGTAATTTGAATTGACTAGAGTCACCTTATTTAGAAGACCCTTTTGGTAAATTGTTTGGTGAAGTGCAAAACCCATGTTTTACAAAAAAATTAACTTCCTAATATACCTTGTTTAGAAATTAAGTTTTTGCAGGCAATTTCTTTAAAGAAGGATAATTGTATATTTGCAATGAAGTAAGAAGGAGGTTGGAGAGTCATGTCTTGTTCCATTCCCTCTCTACAAGATCACCCTGTTCATTTCCTTCATAGAACTAATCACAGTTATAATGTATAATTTAACATTAAAAATATTTATTAGTATCTACAGTCCTTGTAAACACCATGAAGGATCATGTCTTTGTTTTTTCTGACCACTGTATCAGCAACTGGCACAATATCTTGTATATAGAGTTTTCAATGAATATTTGCTGATTATATGAATGAGTATGGAAGTGTCAGGTGAGCTTGAGGCTGAAGAATGGTTTCTTTTTGTTCTGCTACTTTTTGGTAAATATCTTCTAACTTTTTTCTCATTGTCCACACTCAAGCAAACAGAATGCACTTAAAGGTCCAAATCACCTATTTCTATGTCTATAAAATATTGGAGAACATTTGGAGTATGTGTTCTAATTCTAGTGTCCTTTCTTTGATATAACATATGTTGTATGTGATCATATTTTGTGATGAAATGTTCGAAGTCAAAAATATTGACTACTTTAATATTCTTTTGCTATTGCATGTTTCAGTTTTTTTTAGAGTTTATACAATCTAGATGTTTTGTGCTTCCAATTAGACAAATCAGAAAATATAGTTTACCTCTTTAGTCATGAGAAAATAATTAGTTGGCAAGAAAATCTTAAATTCTTTTCGGAAAGTAGAATAATTATCCACTTTGAGTACACATAATCTAAAGCATCCCCTTTCTCCTAATTTCTACCCTACTGCTCTGCCAAAATGAAACTCTACCACGATAGAGGGGATGCATTTAAAAAGTATAAGTACATTGAAATGTGCACTAGTACTTTGTTAGTTTATCATCTTTCAACTTGGAAAAAAACAGGAAACTTAGGGAATGGGTCACAGACAGGGCAGTTTTGGCAGCAGGCAAGAAGACAGAGAAGTTTACAATTAGAGATGCAGCTAAGGCTGGTTGGTCCATAATATAAACATATTGCACTTACTGGTAATGACAGAGTTGATCCTAGGAGACAAAACAGTAGAATCATAGTCTTCATGTTGAAATTGCTACCTGAAACAAAAAGACTGTTATTCTTTTGCTCTATTTTTTTCCTTTTGAAGACAAAGTAGAACTTGAAAAAACAGAATGTTGTTTGAAACATGGTCAGTTAATTACCTTTCTCTTCACTAGGCAAAATATACAGGTGAAACAATATTCAAAGTCCAGTTGATTTCTGTAGTTTCTGTGGTGAAAAATTTTACTCTTTGATGAACTGTGAGTTTGTAAGAGGAATTTAAACTTGACTCCAGGAGGCTGGCAACTGACAGACCAATCAGGACTTCGGTGTCTGAAATCATTTGGTTTCTTTCATTTCCCAACACTTCATTAGGTGAGTTATTAGCTACAGACATTGTATTACCCAATGTCTATCATTTGAATAGAGGGTATTTCAAGAAGACATGTCTTGTGTAATTTTAAAAAAGTGCAGACAATAAAAAATTATAACCCTTCTTCACCTCCATCTACTTTCCCAATGACTTCCCAGATGTACCTGTTTTATCATGTGTGTATGAACATATAAATCAAACAACAAAAGTATGTTAAAATTAAAAACAAGGCCTATTGTGTACATTGCTCTGCAGTTTACTTTGCTTACTTAACAAATAATGGGCATCCTTATGTATCAGTAAATATAGATTTATCTCATTTATTTAATGGCTACATTGTATTACATTGCATTTCCTTTTGATGGATATTTAATCCATTTCCATTTTATTTTGTAATTATAAGTAGTGCAATGAATAGCCTTATACAATTTTCTTACACATGTGAGAGCATTTCTTTAGGTATTATTCCTGGAAGTACTATACTAAAGGATATGTCTGTTTTAAATTTCACTAAGTATGGCCAAATTGCCTTCCAGAAATGTTGAATGGTGCATTTTATTTTAAATGAGGAAAACACTACTGTAATCTAAGCAAAATGCAAGGGTCCGTTGAGGTTTCTTTCACGAAAAGAACAATGAAATACTTACCATAGGTTTTCAGGGCCCCAGGCTTCACCTGGAGTTTTTGAGAGATGTCATTTCTTTAATGACATATACGGAGGGAGGTGGGGTCTGTTCAACAAGTTCTCAGTCCAAATCGAAGATAAATCTGTGTTAGGCCAGGATTTCACATAGAAGGCCCTCTTAGATTTGGCTAGTTTTAGAGTACAGAATGTCTGTCTTAGACAGTGAATTGTTCCCAAAAGCTTTTCTGTAATTATTCAATTCATTACACAATCAGCTTTTGTTACTGTCTGATAAGAACGGGGGAAACACAAAGGTTAACCAGGATACACTTAGTAAGTGCTAGGAGTACACACAGGTATGAAGGAAAACATGATTCATTTTGTTGGGGGCAGAAGGGCAGAGAGAGTTTAATAAAGAAGGCGATCTTGGAGCTGGGTTTTGAAGAATAACAAGCATTCATTAAGAATGCAAGGAGAGCCTCCACGCAGACAGTGTTCATACGTGAAGGAGTGATGTTATTGTTCCCTCACACTGGAACAAAATGAGGTGAGGATAGCAGTGAATGAGAAGGTTGGAGAGATACCTGATTTTAGTCACCAATAGTATTTTTGTTTGTTGGTTTGTTTCTGTTACTTATTTTGGCTTGCAATCATATTATCTCACACAGCTTCTTCATTATTTCCTGATTATATGTTTCTCTTGAACTAGATGGCGAGTTCCTGGGGCCTTGTCTTATATTTCTTTAGGGTCTTCTATGCTGATAACTTTGCAGAGCACCAGATGGTCACTGCATATTGATGAATAAATGGTAGAGGTATTATATACTACAGGGAGTTGGAGCAAGGCCAAGTTGAGGGAAGACTTCAGAGAAGAGATGGGGCTTTAAAGTGGATTTGGAGAATATGTGATTGATGGGACAGACAATGGCATGGTAAAGGGAGTGATTCTAAGAGGCACAATGAAACATAAGGGCTGAAAGATGTGGAAGGGAAGGAACTTTATTGTTTCACAGATGTTCGTAGTTGCATTCATTCATTCTTTTATTCAGTCAGTTCATTTTTCCAACCCATCATTCAGCATATGTTCACTCTGTCTTCTGCTAGCATTATTTCAGTCCTCGGGAATAAAACAGTGAATGGAAGGGGCACAAATCTCTGCCCTTAAGGAGCTTACATTTTGTGGGGGAACATTAAATAGTCAAGACTCATTATGTGGGAGAGAGCCCATGACACCACGGAGTCCACTTTCCCCTGGACATTCTTTTCAATCAATGTGTAGGGGAAGGGGCTTCCTTAAAATTGTTTTTTCTTTTTGGAGGAGGCAGAATTGAATTTTATGCCACTGATAATCCTGGGCTTAGGTGAGGAGACTTGGTTTCTATTGCCAGTCTACAGTATGGTGCTAATGAATAGCTTATTCTAATTGAATCACGGTGTGACTGTCTGGACATCAGGTGATTCAGGGAACTGAGAGCATCGAATGCCTGTTGCAGACATGTCTCCAACCCCAAGCTGGAATGGAACACGCCCTAGCTTGGAAACTGAGCAGTCAGTAGAATTTGGCCAAAATAAACAAGGGAAATTAAGAAGGCTGAGTAATTTCTTAGACAAGAAATTTTAAGTTTGAAAGCAGATAACTTGCAATAATATAATTATAGAGTTGGATGTCAAGAAATATGTACTATAAAAGGGGAAAATTCCTAAATATTCTTAAAACTGAGAGACATCAGCAAAAATAGTGAGGTAATTTATTTTTTCTGAAATGACTCAGGATATCAGGATTCTTTAAAGTACTTTATGAACTGCAGTTTACATCTCTTGGCTCTGTAGATCTAGGAATTTCTTTATATTTATTATTGGCTTTATTTTTAAGTTAATTTTGTTTATGAACCCTTTTGAGAATTTGATTGAATCTATACACCATCCCCTGAGAAAAAATGCACATATGACCATGAACAAAATGTGTATCATGGATCTCCTGAGAGCCCAACTGTGAAGACCCAGGTTAAAAGTCTCTGGTTTGGAGGAGTCTTGGTAGAAACCTCTAGTTATTTGTGTTATCCCTGAACTTTCTAGGGTTTCTTAAGCCAAGTAATATACCCTCTTCCCAATTCCATCATACCCAATGGATGTGGGAAGATGGGAATTACTCAGACCCAAGGCACTCTTTGTGAATTCCAGTCTAAGAGGACCTTTTTGGTAATCAAAGGATAAGGTAAAGTGGAGACCTTTCTGTCCTACCACTTGATAATTTAATCACAGCTTTAAAAGGATTCGAGACACACAATTGCTATCAATTGTTGTGATAGCTTGATTAAGTTAAGTACATTAGTAATTTGAAACTGCAGTCAGCATTCCACGATGCATAGTAATTCCAATGACATCTATTAAATTTAAACCTAAATTATGCTCGGCCAGGTATTGTATTAGCTGCTAGGTTTCAAAAGTGAATAAGACAGAATCCCTGCTTGTGTTCTTGTGAGAAATACAGCCAGTGTCCAATCACTGTATAATGTGTAGGTGAAATGGAAGTATGTGCTAGAGGTCAGAAAAGAGCCTTCATGTATTTTCAGCTTGTTTCTTTGCATTTGTTGCATTTATTCATGGTATTCCCTCTGCCTAGAGTCCCCCCTTTCATCTTTGGTCATCCTACAGTAGCCTGGAAGCTCTACCCATCCTTAAAGTTTTTTTTTATGCCACAACCTTCGTTAAGTCTTCCTTCCCCTAATTTGAAGTCAGCCTTCCTTTTCCTTCTCTGAAACCATATTTGAATTCATGAATTTCTTATTTACTTTATTGTACTTTGGCCGATGCTATTATTTGTGTTTCTATTTTGAGATATTAGGCTTCAAGGTAAATCTTGTGTCTCGCTCATTTTATATTCTCTGTAGAACCCAGCAAAGTATCTTGCATGTGGTAGAGCAATAGATACAATTTGAATTGAATTATCACTTCCTTGACTCTGTAAATTTACAGAATTCTTTAAAATTATTGACCAATTTGTACTGCCCTGAGGAAATTAGGGCATATGCTTCAAAACCTGCAATAGAACCACTTTTCTATGGAGTGGTTTGCTGAATGCCAGAAGCACAGGCACTGAACTAAGAACTAAAATTCTACTAAATAGAAAGAAACCATGTATGTTTATTATTAATCTCGAAGTTTATTTTTTCAGATTGGGTATTGGGAAAATATGTTTAGACTTTTTGGTAGAGTAGCTTGGCCATTGGTCATAGGTGATAAAGTTCAGTGTGTAATGTCATTAGAAATATTGGATGTATTTTCAAATTTCCCCATTCAACAGAGTTGAGCTCAATTCAACGTGGTAACATTGTACTCTGTTTATATAGAAAAATTTCAACACAATTTCAACTCAACATTAAAAGTACATGCATATGGATTGAAAAAACAGGCTTTGTTGCAGGTGACTTTTCAAAAGAGAAAGAATGTCCTGCAAATAGTCATAAATGAGGATGCTGAGGGGAAGGATAAGAGATGTGGTACTAGAGTAAAAGGGATTAATTCATGATTTCAGTGCTTGGATTGGTGGTGTGATGGTTTAGATAAGGTTCTGGAATAGTGTTGGGAGTTTATGTAGTTTCAGAGTTGATACAATACTTCCAGGTGGGTACTTACTTTGAGTTTTGTAGGAGTAATCGGTAAAATATATATTTTCAAAGTCAAATGGAAGGTCAGTATATGATTCTGTGTTGCCACAGAAGATTCTGTGTTTCAAAAGTTATATGCAAAGTCAGTTTAAGATTAGGTGCCATCATAGGGAGATACTTTTGTTTCAGAGTAGTTGTAGGTGCCAGCTTCCAGGCTATTGTAGGATAGAGTGGTTTGTTTTATGGTACAGCAGATGTTAGTGTGGTGATTATAGTTAGACCTGAGTTGTAGACGTGGTGGTGGTGGTAGAAGTGCTTTAGAAGTTGTGGTAGTAGGGATAGTGAAAGTTATAGTAGTGCTTTGTGTTTGAGGTTGAGAGCTTGAAAATTCAAGTATTAGATCTGGATGGGGGTTTGGACAGAGGAGCACAGGGGGAAAAGATTTCATTTTGATTAGATTGAGTTGTCCTGGTCTTTTGTTGATTTGTGGATTTGGATGAAGTTTGGTGTGATCAGATATTTCTTGAGGTGACTTTGGGCAAAATTGAGACTTTAAAGTTTTTTTTAATGAATAGAAGATTTTGGAAAATATTTTAATAGCTGGATTTTGATTAACTGCAAGGTTTCATATGAGTTTTTGGAAAGCAAGCTACTGACTGAATAGCTATTTTAAGAAGAGCTTTGGTAGGACAATTCTTTGCCAAATATCTGCTCTTGGATGGTTATATGGAAAAGCAACACTTGATGAAACAACTGCTTTTGGATACATTTTAGATGGTTTGGCTCTTTCTTATTAGTTATTATTGAATGGCCTTGTATATATCCACGTCTTAGGTGAACAGCTGTTTTTGGACCAGCTTTGGACTGGGAAATGTTTCTCTGATGTTA